TTTTGCTTAGTGATTGGTCTCTGTGTTCAATCAAACACAAACTGTTATGCATTCTCTCTATGAATTTGATGAGTTATTATATTATGACGTGTAAAACAAAGAAAAATGCTTAAAGGGCAAAGCTTACCACAGTGATGACATAAAAATAAATTCACCAACCACATAGTTTGTCAAATGTCAAATGCGTGTATGTTAATTCATATAGTAATTACTAGTGAATGTGGTAATACAATGAAATTGCTTAAACAAGTTCTTGTATTTAATTTGTATTGCATGAAAAGAACAGTATGGAAAGCAGACATGCATAATTGATGCAGTCCAGAAAAGCTGTGTGTCACCTGCTAGCAGAAATGCAGGTGTTGAATCTTGCAAATACATGTCTGTGTCATTGTTCAGTTACAGTTTGTGATTTCTACCTCATATTAGCCTGTTCACTCTGGTTTTTAAATAAAACCTTTCTCGGTCTGAAATCTGTGTTGAGATGACCAAGTAAATTCAACAGGAATTTTACTTTCAGCAATGTGGTGACATCTCCGGAGAGGAGGCTGGGAATGTAGGGGGTGGTGGGGGGTTCTTATGTTCCAGATATTGGAGTATCTGGTGAATTGATTTTGTCATCTCATGAAGATTTTAAACCTAAAATGGCTTCAGTCTAATACATGTTATAAGTCTAATGTGTCACTAATTTGTGCTCTCCATCTTTTGACTTCATGGTAATTAGTGTTTGGTTTCAAAAGGTGGAGGTCTAATGTTTCTTTTGCATACTATGTACACAAGTTAATTTGACAACTGAATATCGCATTTTCACTTCTTGTACATTTAGATTCTGTAGCATTAAACTGACACCAAAATAATTATCAGATTGAGTAAGACTGTGTTACTGAATATTAATACAGCCTCTTCTTTTACTTTTTTTAAAGATATTTATTTCTATGATGAGTTAAGACGTAATAAAAATAAAAATTGCCAAAGCACTTGATAAACAGAGATAGTACCAGAAGAAAGATTTTTTCTTAAAACAAACAGAAAGAACACATAAAACAGTAAATATATTTTGAAAAAATAGTCAGCATTGTGACCTTTTTATTTTGTATTATTGTAAATACCATAGTATCAATAGATAGTATTAAATACAGTTCTATGTACAATTATCTTCCTATAAATATACATAATATGTACAAAAAGAGCATCACAGTGAGTGAAATTGACTCGATTCTCAGAACAACCTTGCTCATGACATTGAACACGTATATAGGGGTCTCTGGTCTTCAGCTGGGGTGTCACCATGGTAACAGTGCTTGATCATGTGATCTTTGTTCCCTTATTTGGCAGTAAGAGCTGTGTCAGCAACATAGTAGCACAGAACTTTGGCAAGACAAAAAAATATAATAAATTCCACAAACACACTTTGCTAACACTGCTTTAAGATTTTTTTTGTTGAATTTTTGTCATAAGCAAGCACCTTCACTTTCATAATAGCACAATTGATAATAATACTGATAAATGCACAAGTACAGGGCTCTATGTCGTATTCTAAAGTCTACAGGGAAACAGTGTCATTACAGATATGTCAAAAGTTGCTGGTAGGCCAGAGACCCCAGACTGTGCTTGAGTCAGAACACAATAGTGAGACAGAATAGCAGGTCACGCACATGCATATGCACCAAGTTTTCGTAAAGCATCAGACACATCAGCAAGAATGCGCTACGTCTACCTCCTACATCTTCTTCTAAAGCTTGGACTAGTTCCTTTACTTTCATTACCAATAATTTAGTTCAATAATTTAGCTTTAATTTAATTTGTCATATAACTTATTGCAGCATTTATGCAATTTGCATACTTTGTACACTGGCTTTGAGCCATCTTTATATATGATTAAGAGAGAGCATTAATCGTTCAATTAAATTACTTTAGAAAAACACAATGTTCATCAAACAATGATGATTGGACAAATTGAATAAAAAAAGTTCTAGACTGCATTTGTACAAACAAAGGCACTTTACACTATTTTTTACATTATGCATATTTTACAGCTTTGTATATCGTGAATAGAGAAGAGTCTGTGATTTTATACTTCTGTCGCAAGCATTCCGTCCTGCGTTGTACATGTGGTAGATGGATACAGGTGCCGATGCTTTTCGTAGTCATAATATAGATGATTGGAAGGGTCCATACTGTCAACAGTATTTTTCTCTTTCACCACATGGATGTCTTGTGTTTCACTGAAAAATACAAAATAAAAAGCTGAATTAGCATTTGAGTCCAGAATATGCAAAGAAGGTAGGACAACATTAGGCAATGTGCTTGTTATGCCAAGCCTCACCTTTGTTAAATCATCAATATTATATTGAGCTGTCTTCAGTAATCGCTACGCCAGAACTTAAAGCACCACACTTAGGCCCTGTCTGGTCAATACATCTCAAGTTACTTTCATCAGTATATGTCTCAAAGGTGATAAATAAAAGCAACACCTTTATATCAGTTTTAAGAGACTTTTAACCACATAATGTTTCTAATATGCTTTATCCTTTGTCATTTACAATTCCTATTAAGTCTATTTAAAATAAGCAAATTGAATTTTTTCTCAATGCTTCTAAGGCAAGAGCTATTTACTTTGCATTGACCAATTGCAGATTCAAGTGCCAAATACAAAAGCAGTATGGATTTCCATTGTTAAATTAGTCTTATTAGCTAGTATTCATTTGAAGTAAAGGTACATATATTAGGAATCGATAGAACAAAGCACAAAATGATAATTACCTAATATCGACTACTGTAGATTCAATGGACATGGCATCGCTGTCTACCTTTTTATATTGCTTCTTTGACTTAGTGTCTATGATGATAGAGTCTAACGAGTTTTCCTCGTTTGAATTGTTATTGTCTTTAAAGTTTTTGTTGGTACTTTTTTCTAAGTTGTGCTGCTTTGAGTTTGCAGCTTTTGGACTGAAGTCTATTTCTTCATTTGTCACTTTTGATGAAAGTGGTTTGGATGGAAAACTGTTTAATATGTTTTTCTGTATACACTGCTTATTGTTCATACTGTTTGCTTCGTTCTGTTCGGCTTCCACACTCTTTTCATTTCTGGACTTCTTGCACAAGAAGAAGATGACAACAAAGATTATTATAACAATGGGGATCCCAGCTCCAAGGCAAACAATGAGAACTATCTGCTGCATAGTTAGAGAATCATCTTCCTCGTCACTCTTGACTTGGCTGGCTGGTGTTTTACTATTTACTGTGCTTCCTGACTCAACTGGTGTCTCGTTGTTTGTCACTGGTGAAGCAGTAGCTGTAGTTTCTGTACAGTCCCTTCCATAGAAACCAGTCGGGCATGAACATTCATACTCAGCAACTCTATCTCTGCATGTTCCACCATTTTTGCATGGGGATGAAGCACAGTCATCGATGTTTTGAGAACAAGTAGTGCCAGTAAATCCAGGTGCACATGTGCACTTGAAGCTGTTGACCACTTCGATGCATGTGCCTCCATTTGCACAAGGTGCAGTGATACAGAAATTAACAGTAGTTTCGCAAACTGGTCCAACAAATCCGGGGAGGCATTGACACCTATAATTATTGTCTTCATCTATACACTGTCCTCCGTTCATGCATGGGTTGTTTTCGCAGTTATTGTAGTTAATTTCACATGTTAGACCACTAAATCCAGCAGGGCATACACAACGAAAGCCGTCCAATTCATCCACACATCTTGCATCTGAAGAACAAACAAAAATAGATAAATGACATTATTCAAGAGTATTGTCATTTTTATTGTTTTAATTAAAGGCAGGCAAATGACATTAATTTATTTTTTCCATTGATATTTTTCCCATTCTTAGTAGAAATAGTAGCAGCTATCCTCTGCGGCAGTCATTGAATCACAATAGAAAGTGTTTATTGACCATGCAAGAAAGAAGATTAGTGAGTGCACTAAGTAGCATAAGAAGCTTATTGCTAAAGACTGGCAATTTCCATCATCTTCAGTTGAAAGAAAATCTATATAAACAGCTATCATGGACAAGTTGTGGATATTAGTAGTAAGTTTCATTGTAGTAAATAGCTCTGTAGTACGATGCAAGAGTTGAGGGAAAAGGTCTGCAGATAATACCAAATTGTATTACTGTTGGGAAAGTAATCATGATTAAGAAGAAATAAAATTTCCTTTGAGCAGATGTGATCCTTGATTTTTTTTCCTTTTCCTTTTTTTTTTCTATCCAGCCACCTGCCAGTGTAACTTGACCGGCATGACAGTTTGAGTTATGTAATGAAGAACTGTCAAAGTTATAATCAATTGCCTTTGGATATGAATTTGCAAGGGACTTGAATGAAGACCTCTGCAAATGTCACTCCATACCTAAATGTTTCATTCCAGGTGAAATATTGCCTGGGACTTATTAATGTTTCTATGCTTCCATAGCTACTGAACAAGACCACTAAAACAATAATGTGGTCAATTGCTGATAAAGCTCTTCATACACAACTGCTTGTTCTCATAAGCCATGTGATAGGAAGAGAGAGACACATTTACAGCAAACCCATTCATTGTTTTCTATGAGCCTGACATTAACATGCTTTCTGGGACAATGGCATATGCCTTTGAAATTATATTATATTTCTAAGTGATCTATTGACAGCTGGTTAGGATTGCCAGTAATTGCAAGCAGTTGCATAATAGAACATGCTACATCAATTAAAACCACCCTTCAGTTGAAGCTAGATAAAATTTTCAATATCCCAGAAGTTCCCTATCTTGCTGTGCACAGCTTGTGCGTGAAAACTGAATGTCATATTTCATTCCGTGTGCCATGTCTAGTTGCATGTACTAAGTACTGAGTCAACTCATTTTTACCTAGTGAAGATTAACAAACCATGCTTCTTGCCAGCATTATTCATATTCATTGTGTACTGACATTATCAAAAGCCTAGGTCGGGAGTGAAAGCACGCTGCCATGTTTGAGTTCAGTGTAATTCTGTGATTGGTATAGGATGTCACTAAATAATGTAGATACACTATGAAGATTTCTGTCTTTTTCAATGGCCATTCACAGTGCCCCAATCACAGGCATTTTACCGAATGAAAAAATGCTCTTGATGAATTGACTTTTTTATTGTGATCAGTAATAAGCAAATGGTACTTGATATGGTATATGTCACACAGACCACTATTTACCAAGCAAGCAATGAAATGCCAGTGGGGATTCTTTTATTTATGTAACTCCATTGACTCATCAAATATTAAATAATTATAATAGGTGGAAAAGGGTTTGTACTAGTATTTAACATATAACTTACTGTTTTTGCAAGGGTTGGACTGGCATTCATTAATTTCATTTTCGCAGTTAGTTCCCGTGTATCCAGCCTGGCACATGCACATGTACGAGTCGCCAACATCGCGACACACCCCTTGGTTCTTGCACGGTAACGCAGAACAGCTTGTTGCTGTTGACTCACAGTGGTAACCATGGAAACCCGGTGGGCACATGCACCTGTAACTGGTTCCAAGGTCCTGAAAAATAAAAAATGCAAGCAATTAATATATGAATACAACAAAAAAGAGCTGTATTAGTATTAATATTAATTTGATATGCAGGAGATGCTCCATCCCACATCACAGACTTCTAATATTTTCATTATTATTACTCAGAAGACCTGCATGGACTATTTACCGGATAAGCGAACAACGACCAGTTATGAGAGACTACTCTCTAGATATATTTTCATCACTTGCATAGTGCTCTGTCACTATAGTAATGCCACTCCAGTGTCCTTTTACAGCAATTTATCATGATTGATAAGGCATTGCCTGGGAAAATTTTTAATTCTTGAGTAATCAGCACACAGGCTTAATGAAAGCTTTGGTGATGATACTGTGCATAAATGATGTATTGCTGTCTGGAATTACTACCAATAGCGTGAGGGAGAGGAGAGTAGAAACCAGGGTTCTTTCATGCAGATTATTCTTTTAGTTTATTATTTATTCTAAAACTGATAAAACAATAAATTCTAAAATCAATGATATATTGGCCAAAAAAGTGAGTAGTTTCTTTTTATTAATCCTTTTACTATTTTTATTTCTAGAATAATTTATACTCACTTGACAAGTCCCTCCATTTGCACAAGGTTGACGGTGACAGTCGTCAACCTCTATCTCGCAGTTTGTCCCTGTGAATCCTATGGGACATGTACAGGTGTAGCTGCCCTGCCCAGTATTGGTGCATGTTGCACTGTTCTTACACGGCTGATGATGTGTACAGAAGTTGAGATCTAGAAATGAATAAAAACAAAAATGTTAATTTATATTAATTTTTCACATTTCAAACCGGCATGAGAGAGAGATTAAATAGCACAGGTGATGCCTGTTTGAGAAGCATTTGTAGGTGAACATCAGACCGTAATCGATGTGCCATCTGTGCATGTTATCATTCTGTCCTCCACATTCCGTAGAAAAAATCATGCACGATTCAGTAATTGAATCATTTAGATGACCAGCTATTCATTACCACGAGAGGTTTTGTCTATGAATGATTTGTGTACATGTAGTAGCAATGGATACTAGAGTGTGAAATGCTATCAGGAAAGTGAGAGTAGGCAACATTCAAATTAATTCTTTATGAATTTCTGCAGAAGCAAGATTGATGCTTGCGCCAGATGATGATAATATGGTTAGGGATTTGGCTCTGTGCCAAGAAGCTCTCATTCATTGCACTGCTTACTAGGATACTACTTGACTAAATGCACTACACAGCAGCTTCTGCGTTGCAAACTCTTACCACAAATCATGTTGAAGTTATCATTTAAGGAAATGTAAGAGGTAGCCAAATTACTGGAAAAGGTTGCCTGTCTTGTAATTTGTGATCTGTTCTGCAGGTTTGAGTATATGAATGAGGCTTTTTTGTAAATTGGCTGTTTAAGAGTTTTCGAAGATTAAGCAACTGCCCTTTAAGTACTCCTTACTAAGGTTTGAGAATTTCTTTGAATTTCACCTCACCTTGGTTGCAGAAGGATCCACCCCAGCCTTCTTCACAGTTGCACTGAAAAGCTTCATTACAAGTCCCATGATTGGTATCGCAACCCGGGTACACCACACATTCATCACAAAAGCGCCCTTGCCAACCCAAACGACATCTAAAAAAAAAACAAAAAGAATAAATAAATGTAAAATGTGGTAACTATAACAGTATTTAAAAAATGTGCAGAAAAAGAATAAAACCTAACATTAAAAATATAACAAATTAAATGCAAGTTGATCTTTCATTAAATAATTAAATTTCAAGAGTCTTTATTTCCTTTTGTTTCATATATGATAGATATATTTAACATTACTCAGTGCCCTACATATGTATTCATCATATTGCTACATATCCATACAGGATCACCAGCATATCATGTCATGTTAATGAATAATAAATATTTCGACCACAACTATAGCTTTCTAGGTCACCACGTCTTTGTGATAGAGCAAATGACAGCCTCCACCTATTGATGGCTCAACGAAATCTTTCTTATGCTGATTAGAGTTGCAATTAAACCTGTGTGAACCCAAAAAGGATAAAGAATACGGGAAATGTGCCTGATCTTTTCTCGATCTTGTGGAATTAATGTTGCACTGGCAGGCTTTTATTAGAAATCACAGCTCCCTCCTTTTGTTCTGAGTAGAGTGGATGATGACAGTGCTGGATTAGCAGCTACCAGGCAGGGACATACATTGAAGCTTATCACACAGGTGTATACACTTATACTACCACTTCCTATACTAGATTGCATCTCTGCCTAGGGCCAATTTTGCATAGACAACAACAGTTAACCTCGAGAGTAAAAAAAATCTACCCTCCCCTGTGACCAATTAAAATATTTCAAAGTGAATAATTTAAATGATTACCAAAAAGCAATTTAATGTTAGGGAAAAAATCGCCAATGCTTAACTTTTAGGTGAGCTGTCACTTTATAACCCAAAATTATTTCGCAGCATTTTTCCCACCAGAAATGGAGTGCAAGATGAAAATATTTACCGAAAGAAATATTAATGGACTTTATTTTTAGACTCATGGCTGCGCTATACTTTAGTATTAACACTGGGCCTCCAGGTGATTTCGGCGTTAATTACCTAGAATTGATAGTTGTATGTTATCTGGGGAAGGAGAAAATTGCTAATCCTTAGTTACAACTACGAGCCCTGTAGTATTTGCACCCCATGCACCTTACATAAAGGTGGAGAGATTTACGTCAGTCAATTGAACTCGCGCCTAGTAAACCACAGTTTGTTCATTACTCCTGCCTCAGCTCCCAATTCATGCTTTATTCCAACTAGTCTGATGTAATTATCAACATTACTACTTACATGCACTCGTTTGGATTGGTGCACGTCCCATGCTCGGAGTGGCAGCCAGACAAACATATAGCTGGAAAAAATAAAGAAAAGAAAAATTTAGCAAAGTCGAAGTTTATCTCACACTCAGAAGGTGGCGAGTAGTAATAAGAGCTCCTTTATCAGAAGAACAAGCTTACATGAGAGACGAGCCTTTCACGCTTATCCGAAATCGCCAGCTCAAATTTCTCAGTCATTTATTTCGAGTGGGTTTATTAGAGAAACGAAGTTTCTTTTCTGTTGCTTAATAATTCATAAACGTGTATTGTTTTCATTGTCTGACAGTGTTTTACTAAACATTGTTATCGATGAAGCGATTCTTCGCTTTGCAGGTAAGTCACTTGAGAACGACGGGCCGAAGCGGTTACATTGCACTCTTTGACTCGGGGACTAAAGACCACAGAGTGTTTACCAAACGTACGCAGGAATCGATGGCTAACGAAAGCCACAGTCTATACAAGATCGATGAAGAAAAACTTGTGGCGTTTTAGTCACCATACCCTAACGCCGTCCAAATTATTGGTTCGATGTGGATGTTAAGAGACGGCTTTTGTGCAGGAAACACGACCCCGGGTTGCTGTTTGTTTAATCTTTCGGAAAATTTCACCGACCTGTCTTTTGATGCCCAGGGCTTTCATTAGCGTAACTTGCGGTTATCTTTCAGAAAATATAAGTGCAATATACTACAAAACCCGAAGTTCGCGTTCTAGTTCACTTGCAATTGTACGCAGTTAAGGCTAATTTCCGTTTCATTTGGTGGAAAGTTATTTCACATAATTTTGATGTTTGCTTTCGTGATATATATTACTGTCTTTGAACTTGGTTTATAATTACATATTGTGAATGAATTTAAGTAGCGATGTCTATCAAAGCAACGCGAACGTTTCGTATTTTATTTTCTTGTTTACGCTCATCTGAGTTAAAACAAAAAGTTTCTTATTTATTTTCTTTATTAATAATGTCTTTGAAAGCAAATGTGTAGTATCAATCATTAGAGGACACCAAAGGCAGCTGGCAGGGACTATATAGAGTAGCTGTTCTTTGACAGCTGCAGCAAGAATATATATTACGAGCCAGCTGTCAATTTACCTCGTACACAACAATGAAGAGGCGCGTGGCGCTCCGCTACTACCTTTGTTCTCGAGTCGAGGGAGACCTAATCCTATGAAAAAGTCCCCCTGTATCAACTCGCACCTTTAGATTTAGGGGCATCTGGTCATGAGGGTTGAGACAATGGTCACTGATAAGGCCACAGCTGTGTTACGGAATCCTGTGGTCAAAAATTAGAGCATTACGTCCAGGTTATACTGGCCGACCACGTGACCTCCTACACAAAACCGCAAGCACGCTCACTTGTTTGTAGCGACGGAAAGAATTTAATGAAAAGTTGATAAACTGAACTATTTTGGTCGATTACTACCTTATACTGCGCAGATCTAAAGCCTAAACAATATTAGGGAAAATATGTAGATTAACAGAGAGATTAGTATTTGAAATGGGGTCTCCAAAGTCCCAATGTGTGTGAACCGACAGGTGTAGGCCTCGTCTACCAATCTAACACACCATTTGTACGAATGCACTTATTTCTGTCTTTCAGTCACTTTGTTGTCAAGCTGTTCTGGGTCAGCAAACATCTGACACATGGGGACATTTCTCTTACAGAACTAAAGCCATGGCAACCCTGTCTTGCTATATAGAGGTGTACGATGCATTGAAGCGTTGTAACACGGTTCCATGAAGAAAGTATATACCACCCGACTTAAGCCACGCGACCGGCTTGATGCCAAGATAGAGCGACCACGCTTCGGGGAGACCTTTGTAATGTCTACTCGTCTTTCTATATACACACTGTCACTACAGCAGTGGTAAAGAACGGATTAAATAAGCACAGGGCTTGGCTCTGCGTAACGACCTGTTGTTCTGTGACACAAGGAGTCTTTTGATCTCTGGCATAAATTCATAACGATTAAAACGGGGGAATTATTGACTTTTTCTGTCAAGCGGCCCGGGGTAGAGCGTGCGCTCTTTGTCAATTATTGATGGCAGGGGTTTGTGTCTGTGCAACGGACAATGACCAAACGGGTGTGGGAAATGGCGAGGTTCTCACGCCAAGGGGACGTACACTATTATGACCCAACCTTTGTGAATCACAACGCGTTCTAGACGTGATCTATCTTGGGATTAAAGACACAAGTCTTGAAAATGTACTGATGGACAGTCCCGATTAGTGGTCTTTAAGTTTAAGGCAACTAGAAAGGGATTCCAAAAATTTCTTCCTCTAATAAAACTGTTCTCAGCTACATACTTGCGATAAAAAATGAATGAATGAGAGGGAAGCGTTACTTAAACCTAACTTGAAGATTTTTTGTTAGCAAGTGGCAAGTTTAATTTCACCTTGTAAATATTTGGCAAAGACTAATGACTACCAGGAGCATCCGCCTGCCAGCTATGTTATTCCGCCGTGATGTGGCTCGGGTAAGGGACATGAATGAAAGGGAAGAGACCGGTGACAAATTGATTGACATGGGTAGACATTAGTGAAGAACAGGCAAGACGTCTAAATTGCAGTTCCTGTGACTAGGCGACGCGGAGATTGCAATACGAGGGGCCGTTGTCAGACGCCATAATTGGGAAACCCTCCCTTGTCAGCTTGTTTTAATGACGTAATCCTTTATGGCATCGCGTCTTGACAGCTGGTCATTGGGCAGTTAACTTTGCTGATGGGGGGCTAATTGTCCTGGGGCAGGTGCGTTAATTCTGGACGAAGGTGCTACTTGACTACGTGAGTTGAGCGAAGGGGACTCGGTGTCGCGCTGCCGATGGTGGACTATTTGAATGTGTAAATATTTGATGGAGATTGTTAAGTGACATGGCACTGATGGTATGAGGTCCTGTCACAGTACCTATATAGACAGCAGTCCACTAACTTGACTAATTTCTCCCTCCCTTCCACCCCTTGCTGTCTAGACATAGTTAACGGAAGAGAAAGTAAATGTTCTTGATAATCGGATTCAATTTAGTCTCTTTAATTTCCTTCTTACCTTTATCGCAGTAAGGGCCTGTCCATCCGTCCAGGCAGACTTTGGTGCCATTGGCCGTGCAGTTCCAGTGGCCGAACCGGTCATCCCTTGGCCGGCAAAGGTCTGTGCAGCCACTGCCGTAGTAATTCTTGTCACATATTACTCTGTATTTGAAATCCAAGCGAATGGAACTGGTAGTGGTGGTGGGTCCCCGAGTCCATGTCTCCCCGACTTCGAGAGAGGATTGGTTGGCCATTCGATAGATGAGCTCTCTGGGGCTACCTGTGAATAGACAAGATTAATCGGGTTATTCATTTGCTTGTAATCTGATTAATTTTGATGGTAATTTCAGGATTTCCCTGCACTATCTATCTCGTTTGTACAGGATATGTGATAGCAGAGGCTTCCGTCTACCTAACGGAACATCCCCCAGTTAGCCAGGTTAATTTGGACTCTAATTATAGAGTTATAGCCATTCGGCGCAAATAGGAAGCGGCAAATGGAGATCCTCTTTGATATCTAGGACTCGTTACAAGTTTCTTATCAGTAGTTATTACGATTTTAAGGTATTGTTTGATGGGAAGGTACACAGTCGCCCGTTTCCTGAACGCTGTTGTGTGGAAATGATTACCTTAATATTATAGCAACAGATAAACAACCGAAAATATTCACGACATTCTTCCTTTTACAAATACAATGTATTATCCACGGAGGCTAAATGAGTCTAAATTCGTAGATCAACCCCCATTCACCTTTGTAGTCTGTCCGATAAACGACGGGCATGTTTACAAGTCAAATACGTACAACAAAGGGACCGTCGGCTTAGCTAGTGAAGAGAAAACACATAAACACGACACATAGGCCCAACAGAGGCCGGTAGCATTTCATTGTTACTATATGAAATTAAGACATGTTCGTTAATTGCAATTCAGTTTTAACGACGCCATTCTAAGGGTATCCCTATAGTTTGGATAGCAGTAAACCGTAATGAGAATAGCTTGTATTTGTCGCCGAGATGAAAGTCAAATATGTATTTTACACGAAAGCTAGTGTGTTTCTTGTTAATTACATGTGTTGGAGTCTCGTGGCTTGGGACTTCGAAAGGTGTATGAACTAGGGAGAAAATCAATGACAGCCCGAGTTATGCACGTAGGGGGAATTCTCCTGAAACCGCCTAGAACGTGGGGGTCGATTAAAGGACATTTCTTTTTACATGTAAGGTTTTTCAACGACCGTGTTAATCTGATTGTGCTTGAAACTGGAGCATTAATTGTGTGCTTTTACTAGGACAGGTCTGGGAAAATGGAGTGCTCCACTCGAGAGCAGTTTCTCGCACCTGACATAGTCCCACGAACAGACTCCCTTAGAACGCTGTCCATTATCACAGCGAGAGAGAGTGGGAGAGAGAAATCCTACAGTGTCGAGTTTACTACACACTAGGCACACTAGTAAACCCTGTACAAAAGAAAGTGCTCCCTTCCCATCGTTTCTTAATGCACGCTATTTACTCACAACACTCCCATACGCAATTTTGCTAATCGTTCCACAGGCCAATTTACATCTGGCTTTTTTTCTGAACCAGTTTTTTAGCCCAGGTAAAATGTCTCTATATAGAGCAAGCCAAGCCAGGTATATTGTATCACGTGTTGCTGAAAAAACGCCAGATGGCCAACATGGCTTTCCCTATCCCTCCTTAATTGCGCTAATCGCCTCGCTGTACAATTATTACCAACTGCACCAAGATAGCAACCTAACAGGACTTGGGGAAGATTTTAATATAGTTGAAGTGGAAGTTGTATGCGCAGAGCAGCTATCTGGATGAACTAACACGATGTTTCAAGTACTTTCAACAGCTGGCGTGGTTGATGCTGATGGATTATTGATATATATGTGTTTCCAAAACACACCTCGCTCAAGTAACTTTCTGCTCTTGTACTTAAACGTATTTTAAGTTTGGACTAAGATGTAGGGAATCCGGGGGTTAGTCTAACACAACACCTGAATGGATTCCTTTAACTGATGAATACACCAAGCAGTTTTCTATTTGGTTTTAGTCTAAACATCTACACGGTTCAGTCTAGACCTGACATTTAACATTGGTGCAAGGCAAGTGCATTTCAGTGCCTTTATCCCGCAACTGATAAACTCACTGCGATGCGCTAAAAAAACCTCGGCTGTCCCCGCTGAGCGCTGAGCAGATAAGCGCTTTATCGGGGCTTCTCAGCGTCCAAACCAGCTGGCTGGCCTCGAGTAAGAAGACGCTCGCCTTCAACAATGGGCTAGGCAAAGACTACTGCGAGGGCCTTTAGATCCGTAATTAATGGTCCCTGCGTTAGTGTGGGAAAGTGCGGTCTTCCCAGCTGACTTGGGATCACGGAGACCCTAGTCTATTGTCGAGTGCCATTATGTTGGAGCGAGTTGATTATATGGGTGGCCGCGTTCAATGGTTATTTCGGCTTTAAAGTGATTCTTCCTCTATCGGTGTGGATTTAATACCAGGGCACGTGGAGTCTTGTACAGATAGTACAAGATCAGGTTTACTGTTTTGGAAATATCACACATTGCAACCTCTGGCGAGATGTGCGTCACACTGGACTAGTTCGTACTTCTAGGAGTTTAAAAATAAATACTTCCATTTTTTTCAAAACCAAAATATTTCTTTTAGAAAAATCTAGTGCTTCCTTACCTGGTCGGGGTCCGTTGTACGTGCTGTCGTGCCAGGCTTCGATGATCAATGAGAAGGTTCCCTGTGGAAATCACCAATAGTTGTGTCATGTCAAGAATCGATGATAATTACGAGAAGTAGTGGAAAAAGCTACTCAAAAAGAAAGAGCTATGAAAATGTTTAGATTAGCTCCGGGGATGGAAGAGACGACAAGCCAATAAACTATCGGTAAACCAACTTGCTAACAATCTATAATAAAATGCCAATATAATTTATATCTTTAACAAACACGACAGCTTTGAACTCGTATTGTTAGTTGACTTTCGTAACTGTTTCAGAATTTAAGCCAAAATGCTGCCAATTCAATACAACACGTTCTCCATCATGGTAATGTTTTTGGTCACGTTACATATTAATTTTGACGTGCGATTGCTTATAAACCTTAAAAAAAACACTTATGTGCTTCAATTCGTGTTATTGCTGATATCGTTGTTTATCAGTTATAACAGTTGTTTTTTCAAAAATGTATATATCTTACCGGCCACGAAAAGTCGAAAGGAAATCTACTTGGGTTATGGAACTCTGCCGAATGTCTTGGGATAAACGAATTATTTCCAAGTACTGGTGTTATAATCTCCCCAAATGTGCACTGTGAATCCGTACTTATGTGAACTTGATAATGTTTCAAACAGATCCTGAAAAATGTGCGACAACTCTGGCTACACGGTCCCATACTGCCGGCCAACTTCCTACCGTTGCAACAATTATTATTAGCATTAACTCCTTGTTGGTTTTTAAATGAAAGTAGATCCAATTCGAATACTCCTGAGCACGATACCTGAAAAAAATAACCAATATATACCTGGTAGTTAACGCGTACGGTTAGACCATTGGCGTCCTATCAATACTAATCGTAGTAGAGTTAAATATTACTGGTAACATACGTGGGGTACTTTCAGTTTTAACTGTCTAAGAATTTTTTAAAATCACGAAAAATTCTCTTACCTGTGAGACCATAATAAACGAAAGGAGGGTGCATATTGCGGTCAAACGAACCGCAACTAGCGACCGCATGATGCCAATAAATCCTCCTACGATTCTGTGTCCCTTGGATTCTAGCTTTGATATTGGCTTTCTCGTAGTCAGCCTCGCTTCCAGTCTCTTGGTACCTCGATGAAACGGCTCCGCCCACTGGTCGATTGATTGACGGCCAGCTAAAATGATACAGACATCAACACCACACGTTTTACTATAACTCTACGCATCAACCTTTTCTATGAGGTTTCTTCGCTTGCTTTGAATTAAATATCCTTTCCCTGCCAATCGAATCCTTTTAAAATCCCATGGAACAATTTCTGACGTTGTAGTGATTCACTTTCAATAATTCATGTAGTATTCCTTAGCGAGCGTGCGTGGTCGCGTGGCACGGTTTACACACAGAGTGACAGAGTGTGTACACTCGCATCTGGTTTATATAGTCCGGACACAGTAAATTAGCATACAGCGATAAAGGGGCTTATGAATGGACCCCCTGCGCATACACTACAAAGCAATACGTCACATCCAACTTGTCAAAGTCCCTTCAGGTGTTATAAGATCCGACCATTGATGGGGGAGACTTTTCTGTTATTATGCGTTTAACATTTATAGGACTTTAGCATATATTAAGTTTTGGCGCATCTGCCATAGGGGTTGGGTTGAGGTTAAATGGACCAATAGAAAAGGGCTGAGGAGACACCAACTGTCGCGATTGTCTGTCCCTCAGGAAGCAACAGCTTGCTTTAACGGGATTTACGATTCACCTGCCACAGAGATAAGACTTAACGACCACCTTGTCCAGAAGACTGCCATTTTGAGGAACTAAAGCGGTTATTTAGAAAAATTGTAACGCTTTTAATTTGATTAAAAAGCGAGATCTCTTTTGCGAAAATTGAAGCCATTTGGCGCGTGGCCCTACTTCAACGCAGAATAATTTCCTTTTGTTCTACTCCGGAGCGCGCCTTTGTGATTACAGCTGTTTACGAGTCCTCGCACCTGCCTCGCTGTTGCCTCTGTAAACATATGCAAATGAACTTCCAAATACGGGCATCGCGTCGCGTGCCTTGTGAATGGGTGCAGTAAACTAGATCGGCCTTAGACCTCTTTAGCAAATCTCAGTTTCCTTTTACAGGGGAAGCCCCAGATTGAAAATTAACTCAAATAATGTAATTAAATCAAAATGCTGAAACTTGATTTTTCTTAATGTTCAACCTGCCAAATATTGTAATTAAATTAGAGAGTTTAAATTTTAAATTCTTTTCTGTTGAAAGACATGAAGCATATTGTTACTTAACGTGATTTTCAAGTATTTTGCGACAGGTTGGGACCGTAGACAAGACACCTGTGTCTATGGGGACCTTTAGGACCGAAACAAATTGGTTGTGACGAATAAGATAAGACAGACGGTAAATCAACAGTGCGTAAATGGCGGACGATGCTTTGTAGATTTCGGCGGTGCTTTGAAATATTTGCGGTAGTTGTGACAGACAGCCAGTGTATCCATTCAAGCGCAAAGCGAAGAAACCTCAGATAGCAATTAACTGATCTAGTATAGGTACGACTACATTTAACAAAAAGGGTGGCGGTGGTTGCGTTTCTTGCTTGATCACAAAAACGTCCTAGGGGCAGCTAACTCTATGAACAGCAAGGAGTATCCGTTACACTGACGGTGGTGCATACATTTGATAACAAACTAGTAGCGTCTCAAATGACCAGTTTAACCAGTTTATCTGTGTATCTTAACCACAGTCACTACGCTGAGGATGCGTTCGAGATAAAAAGACGTCGGAAACAAGCGTCCCTCAATTAGGATTAATTACCAGCTACTGGTCACTGCTGGCCACTCCAGCAAGTGGCGATGTTAAAATTATCTAAAATCTTCAACAGTTGCTAGCACACAGATGTTGGCTTAGGTAAAATAAGTGGAAAGTAATGAAAGAATAATTGAAAATTAAACGTATTTTGCAAATTTTTCTCGATGGTAATTTCCATATTTTAGTCATAGATTGCGAAATTAAGTTCAACAGCTGTCGCAGGTCGCGTTCGTCATAAAAAACTAGGAAGCATTAAACTGTATTAAATGGGCAGACCACTAATCACTTACAAAATGGCGCATTGGGACAATGCGACAGGTGATGTAAATGTGGTTTACTACTAAGTCGTCTGCTTTTTAAGTAGCTGAATTATGGAAGAGGTTTAAATTCTTGGTACCTTAGAAGCGCCCTGTATTATTTATGTGAAGGAAACACAAATCACTGACGCGCGCTGCGGTATGACATTGCTTTGTTCCTTAAATGGTGTTTTCGAACTAAAAGGACGCGGCGCGTGGCAGCTGGGCTAACACATGGGTTTACCTATCAAACCCTACTTTCAGCAAATATTGTCTTTATGCATTCAACGGAAGTACTTTAAGCAAATACGAGAAGGGGTGAAGATAGGCGCGTGCCGTTACACACCGGGGTGCCCAATGGCCCCGCCTCCAAATTATAGCTATTCTACCCGACCATCTGCCATAATGGCTGCATGCCGCTTGAGTTTGTTCAGCCAGGCCCAGACAATGGCCCGGCGCGTGGCACATGTCCCCCCTTATACAACAGAAGGCGATTAACATATAGGTGTCCAAAATATAAGGGTCAGGTTTATTTACTAAATGAAGGAGTACCTCGCGACCAACTGTGCCAATATGTGCTGATTGTCGAGTGAAGCTATTTCAATGCACAAGTTTAAAAATACGTGCTATACACTGCGAATACAAATGAGTGGTATTTAAGCGAAAGGTGGTCATAACTTTTTCGCACACAAACTGCAACACATTGCGGTTAAGTGCTATTTACTGTAGTTAAAACAGCGGTCTATGAGGGCAAACCAACATTTTAATTATGCCTAAAATTGTAGAAGATGGCTGCAGTGATTAAATTTTGCCTTGTCGATTTACAGAATTCTAGTCGAAAATGGAGTTAACCGAAGGCGATTGATTTTTAGTAGATGCATTTGCAATTGGCTACTTGTTGGTTAGATGCTGATATTTTTTAATCATACTGTAACTTCATTAACTCCATATGTGTGCCTCCATTGATATTCTTAATACACAATCAGGCGACAGAGTGTCAAGTGAGAGCAAAAAGTTGTTTCCGAGGCGAAAACACTCAGCGTGAATCTTAGATTTAAGGAGGACTTGGTATGGTCACGACTCTGTGTGCCACCTCCTCCAAATCCCCACTGAAGAACAACGGGGGTGAAAATTTATTTTCTCTCTCCCTTTTATTACCCGTTGCCTACTTTTGTCACATCTGCTAGGTAGAGAGAAAGACTCCACTTATAAATTCAAGAAAGATAATATTTTGGACAGGTTTTTGTGAGGAACTAAATCACTTCTTTAGAACAATGCTGCTGCATCTGTCGTGGGTGTTATTTGAACCTAGATAAGTGATTAGGACCATGTGTTACTTTGGGGGCGTTAAAAGGTACGTCATGGCATATTGTTTGGTTTTAAATCCACCATTTGACATGAAATTAATTTAATCTTGCTGCCACATTTCAATTATCACGCCACTAATTAACAAAGTTAATCATACGCTCTCAGACGCGCACGCGACTCCTCTCTATAACGCGTGCTGTCGCATTATTTTTGTTGTTTCGCTCAATTTGCTTAACCAGCTGACGCCGTTTCCACCGGCTTCACCTGACAATCTGAGCGCCAGCGACTGTGATTTTGTTTTGAAGAAAAACCGAATTGGACCCTATTATCAAAGCAACGTGATCTTCCAGTAATCCGTAGCAGTAGAAGCGGAGTTTATGTTCGGCCGACCAGGTGGTGCTGCATGGCAGCTGTCGTCTCTCCTGATATCATCGATTTTCAAATAAACGACACAATTCCGATTCTCGGCTTTGGGTTATACGACTTCCGTCCCCTGACTGACGCGTTAACGTTTGTCACTTACTACTGCAACTCGGTTACTTGAACTTAAAATTGTCAGGTGATACCAACCCATTAATGCAGAATTCAATTTTGATAGATCCTTTAAAAAACTGTCAACGTTTTGACTTACCTGGATTTCTGTCAAGTTTAGTGGGGTGTGTGTCTTAACGTCACGTGTCTTTTTGACTGTTTTAGCTTCAGACCAGCAAAAATTTTGACACTAAACAATTTAAGATAATTTGACGGTGTTGATACCCATCCCCTTTATATAGGTTCTTGATTTTGGCGGGATTCTTTGATGTCACAATGTCTCGCTTATTCTCGCGCGATCTGTTGCACCTGCCAAATCCCGCCATCTGTTGTTATCTGATATGTTTAACAAGCCGAAACCGCAATTACTGTAGAATTTAATGATACGAGTACTTGTAACTTGGATTGACTTCAACCTAATTTTGAATAAATGCTTCGCTCCCCAAGACGAATTTATTTATGAGGGTGCTTCTTCTGTGTTTTCTTATTTTTCAGGCCCTACAAATTTGGGGAATAGCTGAACGAAAGTGATTTAATTGTTGTTTAAAATTGACTTCAGGAAAGTTAAACTATAATACTAAAACACTCGAACAATTACTTAATAGAAAGAACGGGAGTATGTATGGTAGACCTGCTTAGAATTTATAACCGGAATAGATACAAAAGGCGTGGGGTAGTATGACTCGTGCCCGACTCGTGCTCTTAATTAATCCCTTTTCGAAGACACCCGCATTCTATTGAAAATCACTGTTCCTTAAAATACAGGTTGTTTAAAATCAATACGTAGGTCATAACAACGCGTCCTCTATTGTGTTGCTTCTTTGAGGAGGAGTTGCCGCCAGACTCATGACCCAACTCAACTCTGACAGACGCAGAGGACTTAAAAGTGGACCGCCTTGGTCTAAAAATAGGTAGCATCTGGGTGGAGACGCTTCCCTGGAAAATAGGGACAGGTGATTTTGGCCTTTAATAATAGACGGGGCACTTAAGCAATCGCGTTGCCTTAGTAACATCTCAAAGAAGCTTGCCGATTTTGTTTGATGTCGAGTTGTAAATGGGAGGATCGCGTTGATTAAAGGTTTCTAAGTAGCGGTTGTTGCAGCGGCTGCTTTTGTTGATTGTCTCGCAAACATTGGAAGGACGAAGATGTGCGCGTTCTCTGAAATCTGCTGTCATATTCCGTGTAATATGATTTGTGTCTTGCTATTACGTTAGGTAATTTCAATG